GAAATTGAAGAAGGTAATGTACTTCTATAGAATGATTATTTTAGTGGAACTCCGAAGTATTGTGACAATTCTTTCCGACGATGTTTTAGAGTGAACAAGACATTGTTCACGCACATTGTTGATCGACTCTCAAACGAATTTGAATTCTTTAAACAAAAAAAAAAGATGCTTTCAGAAGGGTTAGTTTCTCTACACTTAAGAAGTGTACAACAGCCATTCGTGTCTTGGCATATGGTAGTACGGCTGATGCGGTCGACGAATATCTTCGGCTCGCTGAAACTACAACTCGGTCTTTTAGGAGAATTTTATGGAAGGAATAATTTATTTGTTCGGCGATGAGTACCTAAGAAGACCAACACCAGCATATCTTCAACGTTTACTTTATATTGGAGAGCAACGTGGATTTCTCGGGATGATAGGAAGCATCGATTGTATGCATTAGCAGTGGAAGAATTGTCTCACCGCTTGGAAATGCCAATATTCTCGTGGCTCGTGGAAACCAACAATCGTTCTAGAGGCGGTTGCTTCATATGATCTCTGGATATGACATGCCTTTTTTGGACTTCCATGTACCTTAAATGATATCAATTTTCTTGACCGCTCCCATGTTTTTGATGACATAATAAAAGGTCTAGTTCCGAAAGTCACTTACTCTATCAACGGAAGAGAGTATAATTTGGCTTATTATCTCATCGATGCTATTTACCCAAAATGGGTAATTTTTATCCAATCTATTCCACTACTACAAGAGGTGAAAGCGGTTTTATTTGCTCAACGGCAAGAAGCTGTCCGAAAAGATGTTGAGCGTGCTTTTAGAATCTTGCAAGCTCGTTTTGCTATTATTAAAAACCCGATATTTTTTTGGGATAAAGTTAAAGTTGGAAAGATTATGAGAGCATGTATCATACTCCATAATATGATAGTAGAAGACAAACGGGAAGGATACACTCAATATGATGTTTCAGAGTTTCAACAAGGAGAAGACAACGGAAGTTCACATGTCGATCTCACGTATTCTACAGATATTCCGTCAAATATCGCAAATATGATGGATGTTCGAACGATAATTCGTGATAGGTGGATGTTCGAATGATAATTCGTGATAGACAGAGGCATGAACAACTGAAAGTTGATTTGGTTGAACATGTATGACGTAAATTTGGACGTGATGAAGACAACAACTGAACTCGTATGCTTCTGTCAAATTATTATCGTTTTTTACTAATTTTTGTTTTTATGTTTTTATTTTAAAATAAATGTTTTAAATGTAATCTTTTACTATGTTTTAATAAAACAAGAGATTTTCCTGGGCTACACCCGGATTATTTTCCATAAACTTCAATTTTTTTATCTTATTTTATAGTTTTTGTTTTTGCATATAGCTTTTATATTTAGGGTAACTACTTTATTTCAATTATTTGGATTTTAATTTTATTTTATGTGATGGTTTTGGGGAATACAATTTCCAAACTATTGAAATTCAATATCAAAAAATATATATAAGCTTGTAGGCATAAGTTGTATAATGTTCTATGAAATAGTTAGAGTTTTTTTTTTTTTGTAACCAATTGTCAGAGAAGGCGTGATGAATTAGTAATATATATATGCATTTAAACTCCTCCTTTATAAAGTTGAAAATAAATAATCATTCCAATAACAGTATTATTCTTTTTGAGGAAAATAGTTTTAAGGAGTTGAATTGGTTGGGTCTAATATGATATCATTAATGAACAATGTAATATATGTAATAGTTAAAAAACTAACAAACTTTAACAATTCATAGGTGCAGTAAGGATTATATGATATCAGTTTCTAAATATTTAAAGAGTTAATTAACACATATCAGAGGCGCAAGGGTGGTTTGAAAATCTTAACAATAAGCAATTACCATTCATAAATGGTGAAATTATATAGATAAAATGTTTGGAAAGGGAAAGAACTCTGAAAGATGCAAACTGAAAGAAAACTAAACTGAGAAAAAATAGAAACTTAAACTGGACAGAACCATTCATCCTTGATAAGTATGCACCCATTTAGGGGTTATGGTCCGCCCTACGGGCGGAAAGTTATAGCAAAAACTATTATATATTTATTTATTTAATTTTATGAAGCATTAAATCATTATAAATTGAACAAACAAATAATAAATAGTCTGAGATTGTACTAACCATTTTTAGCTTGAATTAAAAGGACGGTAACCTTCATTGTTCTCTATTTTCGGAGAATATAAAATTAGAGAAAATAATTCAGAAAATATAATATATATATATATATATATATATATGTATTCTTATTATTTTATTTCACTTCGACATAGTCAAAGATAATCTAACATTTAAATGAATCATAGTGAATTGCATAAGTTAGTTTTGTATATCCTTAAAAGTTAGAAAACAAAGAGATACATAACTACTAATTGATTCAATTTGTTTGGACCTTTCGTTTGTGATCCTAAAACCACCTCAAAAGGAAATTCTTATATAGGATTCCACAAATATTTATACATATATAATATATACATATATATATATACATATATATATATATATATACATAATACATATTTTTAAAAAATTAATGGAAATAATCTCCATTGGAGATGCTCTAACGCTTGTTATATCACTAACTATTTACTATTTGTGTTATTGACAAATGCATCTTCATAAGACTGTGTGGTTTATTTGAAACATTTATGATGTATTTGTTTTGGTTGCCTTGACGACTGTATATTAACAATGTGATGCCTTTGGTTATGTAGTTTTAGTTTATTTCCTAGTCTAAGCAATTATGATTTGTTTTCTTACAAAAATTTAATGAAACAATTATGTTTTATCAGTTTTTGGGTGTTTGAAATCTTCTTAACAGTTTCTCTAGGGTTGGACATTTTATTTATAAAGTTTGAATCGACTATTTTGATTTGAAAATTCCGGATATCCGTAAATTTTTGAAGCAAAGTAAATATTAAAATTGAATATCCATTAAAAACGAATTAAATCACAAATACTAATAAAATAGAATCGGATATCTGATCCGTTCCAATTTTTATAAAAATAAGTGTATATATACAATTAAATATAGAAATTTAAATACATAATTTATATAATTATCATTTTGATATATAATTTAATTAATTATATCTATAAAATTACATATAAAAGTATTAACTTAAGAAAGGAAGATAAAATCTTTATAAAACTATAATTTTCTTAAAATTTTATGTTTTATTTAAAATTAACTAATGTTAAAAATTTGTGAGACATATAATTTCACTAATCTTTGTTATGTAAAATATATTTTTGGAAACAAACTTGTATAGTTTTTTTTAACAAAAATATTTATATTGAACAAAGTGGATGAAATATCCGTAATATCCATAAATATTTCACAAATATTATCCGTAATTTTTCGAAACAAAGCAAATCGAAAAATTAAATATCCGTAAAATACAAAGCAAACCGCAAATACTTAAAATTATGGTAGTATTCGATCCATGCCACCCCTAGTTTTATTTATGAATATGTCAGCCAAGTAAAGATCATATAATTATATATTTAAGTGCACACTGGTCTTAACTTTTTGAAATCCTCTTGGCAAACTTAAATAGATTTCAACTAAAGAGAATAATATACCATGTTAGTATAATATGCCTCTCTGTAAGAAGTGTCAGAAAATTAATCCAGAAACATTGTTAAATTTTCAGTTTCAGATTCTAGTATTGCTTAAAGGTAAGTTTTGTTTGTCTGGAGTTATTTTTAATGTAATTCAAAAGAATTCTCTTTTTTTTTTTTGTACTATCTTCTATAAACACACTGGAACCAAACTTATTGGTCCTGATCCACATAAAGTCATTAGATAGAAGACAACAGTCTAACACCATAGTCTGTTTTGACACATTTTCGATAATTTAGTTGGGAGTTCGCATAGAAAAAAAAGTATATTTAGTTAAAAGCTTCCTAACAAAATATCAACAAATTAGTGTAGTGTCTAATAAGAAACTTACTCTAACTTAACTTTTTTTCTTTTTTTTTTTGGAGTCGTTTTGTGGATCTTCGGGAGTCTCAAACCAACGTCCTCATGTTTTCTCTAACCATGTCATGTCTTCCTCTTAAAGGTTTTTTTTTGTGAATTTCTATTTTCCAGGTATTTTGTGAGTGTATGTATATATAATGTTTCATTACTCACTATTAGCTCAGAAGTTGTATAAATAGTTTTTGATGAATAGTTTTAACATCTCAAATTATAATTTTAACACATTTTAACATGCAGAGGAAGTGAGTTCTTCAATGCCTATATTGTGTTTACTTAATTTGAGCTTAAAGGAAGACATGTATATTGATAGGTTAAATACCACCCACCACGTTGAGTTTAGTTAAAAATAGATAAAGTTCTAAATTATAGTGCATAACCAAACGAAAAGGACGACATAAAACATAAGGAAATGTAATGGTGGTTTATGTTTTCTAGGTGGATCTAATCTTAATCAACAATCTGATTGTTTGATGTTGAACGTCATTCTTCTGGTAGAGCAGATGCAGGGGTGGTCCCATGATTGGATATTAGTGGGGTTAGAAAAATTAAAATGTTACCAACTCTGCTGCATAATCTTTGTTGTTGTCCTATACGAATCAAAATATTATTGACCTGAACAATCTCACATGGCAGTGACGTGGTAGAAAATGTAGTCCCTATTGACTGATTAAATTGGCTGACGTGGCATAGATCATAGGCTCTTAATAAGAGCTTTTAGTTATAGGAGATGTTTAAGTTTACTATCAAGTTGTCATCGAAACCTTCTTGGTGACTTGTGAGTGATGTTGTATTAGCAGTCCTTGATTCGGAAATGAAATACAAAAGCGATTAACAAAAGTACGAAAACCGAAGTCAGATAAATATTTCATACTAAACTGGTTCGAAGCTACATTTGAGTTCGGTTTTGGTTTAGACATGAATTGGTTACTTCAGTCCGGTTCAAATCCGTTAGCCTAGTGGATAACGTTTTTGGCGACTTGGGTTTTCAAGAATGAGACGTGTCACAAAACTGTAGCTTAAGAGCATCCACGTGCCAGTAGCCAACCATCTTCATTTCTATATAGTCATGCTACAAAACTCTTTTTAAGTCTAAACTTGAGACCGACCATTGATATGGAGTTTCCTGAAGGAAGAAGAAGAAGAGAAATAGCCAGAACCGATGGAGAGAAGACAACTGGTCCTTCGGTTGTGTTTGCCACCGTAGCATCCTTAGCGGTGGCCGGACCGCTTCTGGGTCTGATGAGTTTCAGCCTCGTTGCGACGGTGACTCTGTTTATTATAGTTTCTCCGTTGATTCTGATATTTTCTCCAGTGTTGATCGCAACGGTGGCGATTCTTGTGGCGGCTATGGCTGGTGTTGTGGTGGCTGCAGTCATGTGGTTGGTGGGGATTGCCGCTTTGGTTTGTTGTGGGCGAGAGATTGGTGTTAGGACTGGAGTGGCTGAGAGGATGGTTGAGTCGGTGGTGAGAGGGTTAGGTTATGGTAAGAGTCTTTACTTGCGAGACAAGTGAGATGATGGTTTTTCCTAGTTTCAAACGTCGAAAAAGCGTTTCTTGATGCGTACTCTTAATGTGTTCATTTCTGTCTACTCATGATTCATTAGAATTATGGTGAATAAAGAAAAAGTAGAGGTGGGGAATATGATGATGTAAACATTTTTGTTAGCCATTTATTTTAAAATTAACCTACCAAATTTGGGAAATCTCAACTAGAAGGCAAAGAACTACGAAACTAGCAGTCGTCGAGCAATGTGAGATACAACAATACAACAAGCGTTTTTGGGTCATTGCAATTCGCTAGCAACAACTGCTAATTTGTGCCTATGGATTGTTTCTTTTGGTCTTGCAAACACTTTTGTTAAGTATTCAAATTGCAAAAATTCCAACCAGTGAGGGAAAGACGAGATTTATGTATGACCAAATATCCGCTAATACTGGCCTAGAAAACTAGAGTTGCATCAACCCCGGCCCTTACAATGTTTTAATGTGGTTGTCATAGGGATCTATTTTTCAAACTTACTTTTTCTTGGTTTGGCCAAAACTTTTTTTTTCTATTGGACAAAAGTTTTGCCAGTTTTGTCATATTAGTTTGAGAGTAAGAGCACCTCCAATGGTGTTCACCATTGGAGTCCTTACTAATACAATAGTAATTTTTTTTTTTTTAAATAGTTAAGGATTCTAATCCCAAATGTTCCTCCAATGGTGTTATCCATTATGGAGTTCTTAAATTTTTTTTTTTTTTTGAATTGAATCTTAGAAGTCTCCTTCATCTTAGTCAAGATCATGGCACTTAAACTTGCTTGAGAAAGCAATTCATTATTATATCTAATGATTTGGTTCTTTTGTATAGCACTTTACCTCCAGTTTTGAAGCTTTCTCGTTAAGTACACGCATTGCTTCATCAGGTTGAGGCACTGTGAAAGCAGGAACACCACTCTGCAATAGAGAGAGATATCATTAAGAACGAAACTAAAACAAGACAAAACGCAGAAGCTTCTTGTCAGTACCTTGAAGATACCAGCTTTCTCTGCAGCTATTTCAGTAAGTGTGTGTCCTGGATAAAATTAAAGAATTAGAAAAAATGCATTGGATTCCATTTTTCCAGAGAAAAGAGACTAACCAAGAATCTCCATATGATCATAACCAAGAGAAGCAATACCACATACGACATGCTTCTGAATCTATATATTAACATAACGCTTTGTTAGAGATGAAAGATAATGAATAGAATCTTTAATATGCTTTGTCCTACCACGTTTGTTGCATCGTATCTCCCACCTAAACCAACCTCTAGTATCACAACATCCACCTGCGTGTAAACATCAATAACATTATATGACTAACAATACTACATGAGTTAGTTAGAAAAGAGATTTATTTGTAAGAGAACCTGTTCTGTTGCAAAGATCTTGAAAGCTAACAACGCAAGGAAGCAGAAGTAAGTAGGCATTGGAATCTCATTGCTGGTTTTCTCCTGCGCTTTAGTTTGCAATGGTATAACGCAACACTTAAAGTCTCTATATATATGAATGTTCTGTTCTAAAAAGCACCACCTTGAGTTTATGAAAGCAACACCAGAAGTAGTCCACAAACTTCCCCTGGCTTATCTCAATGCCGTTCAAACGGAACCTCTCTCGGACATCTATCAAGTGAGGAGATGTGAATAGACCAGTTCTAAGACCATAACCACGAAGAATAGATTCTGAAAATGTGCATGTTGATCCCTTCAAACAAATACACAAAACTTAAAACCTTGATTGTAATATAATAATCTCAAGAAACTGTGTAGACATGATGAGTATTAAAGTATGTTACTTTTCCTTTAGTTCCAGCCACATGAATGATTTTCAACTCTGAGACTGCCTCTTCAATCTCAAAAACCTAAGATATTCATCAGACCATGAAATCAACAAAATGCTCATAACTTGTGGTATGACACACATCAAAAGTGAACCTTGAGATAATGGAAGAGGAGATGAAACCGGTGAGATTGGTGTTGCTTTCAATTCACTTAAGATTATAACACACTCAAACTCAGGAAGAGGATCCAAAACAGAGGACTGTAAAAATTGAGACTCTGAATAAGAAGTAAAGAAACAAAGGCAAACCCATTATCATCCAAGCGTTCAGAGATTAGTGGAACCCCCACGAGAAGCAAAAAGAGAGAGACTTTACCTTCCCCTTGTGCCAATTATGATGATAGCAGTACATGTTTTCTGTTCAACAGCAACACAAGCTCTTACAAACCCAGAAATCAGCCATGGATGTCACAGCCTCAGCCGTTAGCAGTGAGAGAGAGTTGGGTTGGTTCTTTGAGAGAAAACGCGGCAGAGTTGATGTCGTTGATGTCTTGGGGGAGAGGGAGAAAGCAAGAGGAGAGACAGTGCCACGTAGATAAGGATTCAATCCTTCTAGCCCTTAGTTAAGGACTGCTCCTTAATAAATACTACCTCCGTTCCTGAAAGTAGGATTTTCTGGATTTATTTTTTGTTCCATAAAGATAGATTTTCTATATTTTTAAGGTAATTTGTATACTTTTAAGAAGCATTAATTATGAATATTTGAATTGACTGAGTTTTATTGGTGGATATTTATTAAAAAGTGGGTAGAAAAACAAATAATAAATGTAACTATGAACATTTATTATATTTCTTAATATGCGTAAATAGTCTAGAAAATCTTACTTTCGGGAACGGAGGTAGTAGTGTATTATTGATTTTCTTTTATTCTGATTTGCCTAGGATTTGCTGCCAAGGATTTGTTAAATATCCCCATTGCACTTGCTCTAATAGTCTACCAAGCAATGCATCATCCCACGTAAAGAAAAGTTAATTAATCCATCAAAACTAGATTTTGACCCGCGCAACCGCGCGGGTGTTTGTTTTTGTTTATAGTTATATAAACATTTTGTTTTCACTTGTAAATTAGTATATATTATAGTAATCACATATTTACGATATGTATAGTAAATGTTTTTCAAACATAATAATATTATATAATAAGTGTTTTAATCAAATAGATTGTTTCAAATTTTCTATATTATACATGACTTTCAAACATGTGTTTGTTTCTTCTTCTATATTTTATTGTTTGTTAGATTGGTATTTCATTTTTAGATAAAGTAATATAAATAGAGCTTGATTAAATATTAGTGTAATTTAATTTGCAAAGATAATATAAACTTCGAAGAATTTTTTGCTAAAAACTAAACTTATAGCTTCATAAATTAATATTATAAAAAGTTTATTAAAAAGGAACTTTTTAAACAATTTCTTTTTTTTTAAACAATCTTATATATTAAAATTTTACATCAAAATAAATTTATCTAATATATATAACGTATAAATTTTGTTAAGGTATATAAATATTACATATTAATAATCTGTGATTTTTGTTAATATATTCTGGATGCATTTAACTATTATTGACATATTTCCTTATAAATAATAGAAGATTCCTAAATTTATATCTATTGACATATTTTGCGTGATTAAGTTGGAAGGTGTGGGGTAATTTACCAAAACAAAATTGTTAAGCATATTATAAGATAAAATAATGATAATATTATTAGAGAGTTAATGTAACATAACTTTCTAGTAACAGTCCATTTTTTTAAAAATCACACATGAAATCAAGTCATGACTTCTGTTTTAATATATAAGATGTAGATAACAACGGACTCTCACAAGAGTAAGATGATACTTCTGAAATTGATCAGTAGAGCTTGATTTCCTAACACCAGATTACATCGAGAATGGGATTAATTTTATAACACGATCTGATTATGTCCCAACACATTTGATATAGAACTTTGACACATACAAAAATATATCCTAATTCTTTTTATATATTTGATTCGATTTTGTGTGCTTATATGTATTGTGGGTACTAGGAATGAGTTCGTACGCAGAAAAGACAAGGAAACGGTACTTGTCAGTTGTCTTAAGATTCTCTGTGTTTCCACGAATGCTCGTTAATCACGAAAACATTCTTACACACGTACGCCCTCGAGTCTCGAGTTTATCCTCCGTACATCACGAATACATTCTCTTACAAAAAGTGAAAAAGGCATTGTAACTACGACATGAAAAAAAAAATTGTGGAAATGAATATACAAGGGGTTGACCAAGCGTAGAGTGGGTGACCTACCTGCCAAAGGGAATCACACGCTCTGTAGCGTTGAATTCTTTAAAGAGTTTTATCAATTCATGCACATTTGATGCTAATTTCATCGTTTCGAGTTTTTGTTTTTATTCTTTTATAAATATGCATACATTTTCTTTCTTCAGTTTCAGTTTAAAAGTCTAGATTACAAGAAATCAAAGTTTGGTAGTTCTATTTCTTTTGGGCAATCTTTGATTTTTCCTTTTCTTTTTTCATTTCTTAACCAACTTTTCTTTTGTTTCTTGTGGCTGAATTAACTAAAGAGAAATCGATTTGTTTTCTAGATTAAAAAAAAAATAGAAAAAAAAAGGATGGGTAGGATTCCATGTTGTGAAAAGGAGAATGTGAAGAGAGGACAATGGACTCCTGAAGAAGACAACAAACTGGCTTCTTACATTGCTCAACATGGTACTCGCAATTGGCGTCTCATCCCTAAAAACGCTGGTAATATTAAACTTTCGTTGAAAAAGAATTACTTATTTAATCAAGTAGGCATAGTCATATAAAGATCTGATTATCCATCACTCTGCTTTGCCATTTCAAGATTAAAAAAAAACAAATAATGTTAGGTAAAGATTTGTTTTGTAAAGTACATATAATAAGCCGGTGAGTACTTGTTTTTATAGGATTGCAGAGATGTGGGAAGAGTTGTAGACTACGATGGACAAACTATTTGCGTCCTGACCTGAAACATGGACAGTTTTCAGACGCTGAAGAACATGTCATTGTCAAGTTTCACTCTGTTCTTGGTAACCGGTATGATACCATTTCTCCTTAGGGTTTTAATATCTTCGTACGTTCCGTTTAATTGGGTGTATAAATTTACTGATGGAGTAAAAGATGGCATTTTTTCTTAATTATGGAAACATTGATGCTGGCTTTGTCCACAAGTTTCTTGGGAAACAAGAAACTGAATACAAGATCTAACTATAGCAGAAATTGCCTTGTTATGTATACCAGGCCTTACTATCTAATTTTAATCTTTTGAGAAGTTTGATATTAATTCTTAATATGATTTTGCTTCTTTTTAACACAAATTTGACAAAGAAATAGCTGGAATTATTTCATAGTTTTGAAAGATTCTCTGTTAATAGTTATGGTTTTAGAAAATAGTTAACTGAATTAGACATAAACCTTGCTTTTAATATTCCTTTGACGTCCTATATGGTTCAGGTGGTCATTGATTGCTGCGCAGCTTCCTGGTCGAACAGACAACGACGTGAAAAACTATTGGAACACGAAGCTGAAGAAAAAGTTGTCGGGAATGGGAATAGATCCCGTGACTCACAAGCCTTTCTCACACCTAATGGCAGAGATCACCACTACACTCAACCCTCCGCAAGTCTCTCACCTCGCTGAAGCTGCCCTCGGTTGTTTCAAGGACGAGATGCTTCACTTGCTCACCAAGAAACGTGTTGGCCTAAACCAAATCAACTTCTCAAGCCCTAACCCTAACCATAACCCTAACAACTTTAACCAAAATGTTGATAACGAAGCTGGTAAGATGAAACTGGATAATGGGAATGGGATAATGAAGCTATGGGACATGGGAAATGGATTCTCGTATGGATCATCTTCCTCGTCCTTTGGGAATGATGAAAGGCATGAGGGATCAGCGTCTCCTGCGGTTGCGGCGTGGAAGGGTCACGGCGATATACGTACATCAGTGGCTGAAACGGCGGCAGCGGAGGAGGAAGAGAAGAGGAAGCTGAAGGGAGAAGTGATGGATCAAGAGGAGATCGGATCTGAAGGAGGAAGAGGAGATGGAATGATGATGATGAGGAGACATCATGATCAACGTCAAGAACGTGCGTTTAGTGTTGATGATAATGACTTGTGGGATTTACAAGCTGATGATCTCATTAATCATATGGTTTGATTTTTAATTATTATGATTGTTTTTAGATTTATTGTTAAGATTTTCATTTTGGATCCCATTGGTAGTTAACTTATGGTTATCAAGCTATAGGATCTTTTTTTCCTGGTTGTTTACAGATACTAATTAATAAGGTTTACCTCTTTTTATGATGATCAAGAAATGTAAATTAAGATGTTTTTTTATACAAAAAGATTTATGAAAGAACATCTTATATATTAAAACAGAAGTCATGACTTGATTTCATGTGTGATTTTTTTAAAAAATGGACTGTTACTAGAAAGTTATGTTACATTAACTCTCTAATAATATTATCATTATTATATCTTATGAAAAATCATATCTATAATAACAAAGATACGCTTAACAATTTGGTTTTGGTAAATTACCCCACACCTTTCAACTTACTCACGCAAAATATGTCAATAGATATAAGTTTAGGAATCTTCTATTATTTATGAGGAAATATGTTAATAATAGTTAAATGCATCCACAATATATTAACAAAAATCACAGATTCGTATTATGGAATATTTCTATACCCTAACAAAATTTACACGCTATATATACTAGATAAATTTATTTCGATGTAAATTTTGAAAATTATATTGATTTAAAAAAAGAAATTGTTTAAAAATTCTTTATAATATTAATTTATGAAGCTATAAGATTAGTTTTTAGAAAACATTTCTTCAAAGTTTATATTATCTTTGCAAATTAAAGTATACTAATATTTAATCAAACTCTATTTAGAATACTTTATCTAAAAATGAAATACTAATCTAACAACCAATAAAATATAGAAGAAGAAACAAACACATGTTTTAAAAACATGTATAATATAGAAATTTTGAAACAATCTATCTCTATAATATTATTTGAGAAGTCAGTTTCCTACGTGTCGCGCTTACGTTAACTCTCACGATGGTTGATTACATAGATACCCTTAATGAATTGGTAGATTTTAAGATTATTTTTTTTTAGTTTCCTTTTTAACTTTTTCCAAATAACATATATAATAAAAAGGAAATATTTCTAAAATTTTAAAACAAATTTAAAAACGAAAATATATGTATATAATAAGACTTTATTAAAAGGAAAAGTCCACAAAATAATAATATCTCCATTAATATATTTTTTCAAAATAATCTCTATAATATTATTTGAGAAGTCAGTTTCCTATGTGTCGCTCTTACGTTCACTCTCACGATGGTTGATTACATTGATACCCTTAATGAATTAAAATAGTTAAAAACAGTATTATTAATTCTTTTATTTATTTTCCTTTTCAGAATTTCCAAAAATATATGTAATAAAAAGGAAATTAGTTATAAATTCATAAAAACAAATTTAAAACGAAAAATATATGTATATATAATATGATTTCATAAAAAAAAAGGAAAGTTCACAAAATAGCAATAATCCATTTAAAAAAAAATTAAATAACATTAAAATACACTTTTTAGTAATAAAAATAGTTTATAATTAGTATTATTGAAATTTTTTATTTATTTTTCATATATTTAGTTGACTATAATATCTTTCAATTTCAGAAATTATCTATAAATTATATTTCACTTACATCGGCCAAGAGGTTGATTGAGTCAGTAGACCTAACGTACGCTTAAAGAAAAAGACAGCTCTGATCACCCTTTATCTTTCTCGGACTCCAGTAATATGTGTGGGGCAAGTAATCGTTGCTCAGTTCATATCTTTAAGTTCGATCATTGACAAGGTTCAAAGAAAGGGTGGGCCGTCGGTTTGAATCCAATATTATGCACTTTTTTTTTTCAAAAATACGGAATTCACAACTAGAAAGGGAAAGGTTTCCGCTCCCCGCCATCAACGGTAATCAATTCTTAAAGAGTAAGCTCACCGCTTTCTCGCTCACTCTTTCTTNTCTTTCCCTTTGGCTGACCTCGCTTGACGGAAGCCTGCTTATTTAGCGATACAACAAAAGAAAGCGGCGGGAATAGAAAATGTAGCCCCTATCTCTTAAAAAGAAGAGGTCCAACGAAATGATACTGATAAAGGAGAGTAGAAGGTTCCACGAGTTATTTAAACCTCTCCTTACAGTCGAGTTATTCCGGCTTGATAGTGCAAAGTCGTATTTCTTTGGTTAATAAGATTCAAAAGGTTTATCGATCCCAGGGGGTGCAGATTCATAATAGGCATATCGAAATTATTGTACGTCAAATAACATCAAAAGTTTTGGTTTCAGAAGAGGGAATGTCTAATGTTTTTTTACCTGGAGAATTGATTGGATTGTTACGAGCAGAACGCACGGGGGCTACCATCCTTTTCCATTCCACTACTTTACATGTTAGCTCGTCTCACAAGATTACTAATAAGAAAGAGAAGAGAAGGACCTTAGGCCAGTAAGTTCATCCTATCCACCACTTGAAAAATGAACACAGGAAAGGGAATAAGAAAGAATAAACTGCTGACGCAGCTGAAATGCACTAAAAAGGAGAATGTACTCTCGCTTTTTCGTTCCGAGGAATGAGAGGAGGTATCCAAGTAGTTAGCGAGACTTCAAGACCAGCAGCCAATAAGAAGGTCAGAGTCACAATCGCTTTCTCAATTGACACTGCGCCAGAATCTACCACCCCATTCATTGACTATCTCACCTCACCTCACCTCCAATGGGTCTGGGCGCTTAGCAGCCCCTACTTTCACATTTCTTCCTATGAAACTACTTGGTCTACTTCCATTTAGACTGAGATGGCGTCTTTTTCGACGGATTGATCCGGACTTCCCCACTTCAACACTCGCAGGAAAGAAAAGACCAGAATCCTACTGAAGCTGCTAACAGAGACTGAGCAGATATAGACCTATGAGATTTGTACACTTCGGCTTGGCACCTTCCTTTCATTCCGTAAGGGGCTACTAAAGCTAATAGGTGCCTTCCCTTAGACTTCTGTCTTTTCTCTTCGGGTAAGCTCGAGGAACGCCTCACCTCTTCTTTCTTCCGATCTTGGTACTCGACCTGGAGATGCCAGTTTAAGCAGTTCTTTCGGATGGAGAGCCTCTTGCTGGGGATTCCTTTGATGAGTTAGACTGTTCATTGCGTGAATGACCGATAGCACGAACTTTCTTTTACCAAACAGGGTCAATCATATCAAACAAAATAGTCCATACTTTCGGCATGAAGCCAGCCAGAATGTGGGAGATCTTATAGGTCTTCATTACCTCTTGACTTTCATAGGGAGTAACTTTAAAACAACAACGATTAATTACTATTGCTATAAAACAAGCTCGTATTTTATCTTTGTTACATTTTCTTAATAATCAGAAACAATTTGAAAGAAGTGAGTCGACATAGCCTCTCGGTGAATAATGATCAAGTGAGCCAAAAATTTTTCAGTTCAGATTTTTCTGATAAAAAAAAATATGGGAGATCGAGCCGCTCTCCCTCATTCCACTCGTCCAGCCCTCTTCACGAACTTGTACAATCGATGCCACAAAAATAGCCAACTCTCCTCGCATCTGTGTCAACTGTCCGTTGCTGTATCAGTAGCGGAAAGCTTTACATTGAACCAGAGGAATTCCGCCTCCTCCGACTCAAACATTGGATTAGCTTCAGGCATTTCAGGATATTCTCGAGAAGACCAAGTTTAGTAAAGATATTTTTATTGTAGAACCGGTCCCCCCCGTTAGATCGAAAAAATGTATTACGCTTTGGTGGTAATATCCGGCATAAAAGAAAGCACCAAAGCAAACAAAGTCGATTCTTTGTTGAGTCAACTGGCAACTGGGATTGCAGCGGATCTAGTGGTTCTCCTATTCTATGGTCTTGCTGCTGAGAGAGTAAGAATAGAAAGCAGAAGCTCGCCCGCGGGCGAAAGACAAGGGATGATTCTGACAAACCATTCCCAATAAGAACAAAGAAGAGGGATTCTATCATGGCAGGAATGCACGCACAAGCAAACACAGCCCATGTATCAGCAGGGGTTCCTCCGCTTCGCTCACTTAACTAATACCTTCATGACAATATAAACAACAGAAGAAGGAATTATTTACGGGCTTACGCCCTTGCACAGAATGACAGGACAAGCAACAGAGCAACAGGAGCCGGGAACTCGTTCTCCAACTTCGCTCACGCGGGAGAACTCCCTCCCTACAACTTCGAAGAAACAATCCATGCACTTCCTGCTCTGCTATCACCTAAAAGACTGCAATTAGCCTATCGGATAGAACTCTTCCTTCCTATTTCCCCATTCGAACGAGGGAAGTGAGCGTGAGTGCTTGATGTAGCATATCTGCTGTTCACTATCAACCATAGGCGTTCCTCGAGCAAGGCTCGATGGAATTGAGGTTCGATGTAATTGACCCGCCTTATGTTGGACTTCCCAACTTACCTAGCGGAAGAAAAGGGGTTCCTCCTAACCCTTTTCGCCGAGTCCGAGTATTCCTATTCTAATTAGCCGGGATGGCTTGGTAAGCAAGCAACCAGGCGCCCATTCCCAGTTCTTTCTCTTCTCTCTTTTTTTAGTTTAGTGACAGCTCATCAAAACAATTGTCCAAGATTGCTAGATCAGTCTGGGAATGAATTCTATTACTTGATTGACATTGACAGATATGTGTATCACACCGAACAAGCAATATGCCGATATGCTTGATGTACCAGCCAAGCCAGGAAGGGACGAAAGGAGCTAGTGAGCAATGACATCCGCGCGGGGAATAGGCTTGCTTCCCTTGACCTTTGCATCAGGAAACTTTCCTCTGCTAAAGCCAACTCTAGCCATTTCCTATGGGCAAACTTCTCTTTCCTTGCAGCTTCCTTAGTGGTGGAATTCATCAGGTCAGCCTGGCGATAGCGTCTCCTTGAAAACTCTTTCCGTATAGGCCAGAAAACAGCTTGCTTAGAGAAAGACTGACTCTCCTACAGACCTGGTGGACCTTACAGAACTTAGTTTCCGTCTGGGTATGCGTCCTTGGATTGCTGTTGCATATTCAGCTCCTGTTGCAGCTGCTACTGCTGTTTTCTTGATCTACCCAATTGGTCAAGGAAGTTTTTCTGATGGTATGCCTCTAGGAATTTCTGGCGCCATTCCCGAGGAACGCCTCCCCACATTGAGAATCTCGATAACTCCAAATTCAGAAGTGATATAGCTAGCGTTCCTTAGTCTCAATCACAGACCTTTTTCCATTTTAGGTGAACGAGGGTTACCGGCTCTACGACCTTGCAAGGCACTACAGTAGAGCTCGAGGAACGCCTGCCACTTTCTCAATCGAAAATGTCAACTGTGAAGATTCTCGCGTTTCTTTATGTAATTTCAGGATTTCTTTTCGTTGATCGGATCGAGCACATAGTAAGCTACATAACTTTTTCTTTTTTATTCTTTTTATGGTCGTGCCTTGTGGCACGGCAGCACCCGTACTATTGAAATGGTTCGTCAGTAGAGATGTGAATATTATTTTCAAATACAATCACAATTTTGTGTAGTGCTTATTTTTAAGAGATATTAAAACCTAAAAATAAATTTAACAATAAACATCGTTTGATCAAATAATTAACAATTGGTTTAATGAGCTAGATATGTGATATTTTATTATTATTAAAATTATATGCTTTCTTAATATTAATTTTTTTTAAAAAATTTTATGTTTTTATGTTTGTGAAACTAAATATAACCATAATCAAAATATCAAAGCAAATATGAATTCCCAATTTTAAAATTATATAAAATAAATTTTAGTTTACATTCAATAAATCTAAAGCATAAATTTATTTAGAATTTATAAATATTTTAATTATTGTAAATATTGATATGTGTTATGATCTTCTAAAAATGTATCAACTACTTATGCATGTAACCTTCTATTGATCATAGGATAACTCAAGAATATTAACAAATGAAAATAAATATTAACCAACTTTTACAATTTTAGTTCTTTTGTAAAATTTATATATATGCATGAGACTTTAGAATATTATCGTTATATTAGTTTACGTATTTTGGAATCAAACACTTTAGTTAATTTTTAATTCATTCTAAGCACAATATATCTTAATTTATACATAATTTTCCTAAAATATATTTATATATCAAAGACAACACCCACTATATGCAAATAAGTGATTAATTAAAAATTAATATATTGTTAAAAATATTACAGTTGAACTCAGATAATCCAATTTATCCAAATGATAACTAAATCAACCGTAAAAACAACAAAATCGACTAAATATAACATATATAAAATTATAGTATAATTAAAATAATATAATATATTTAATATCAACGATGCATACAAATTATAAATTAATTTAAAATTAAAACTAAATAGTAATCAATTATTATCATATATTTCCTTTTAAAATATTTATAGCCGTGCATGAGCACGGGAAAATCACCTAGTTTGATTAAAACACGTATTATATAATATTATTATGTTTGAAAAAACATTTACTATACATATCGTAAATATGTGATTACTATAATATATACCAATTTACAAGTGAAAAAAAATGTTTATATAACTAACTATAAACGAAAACAAACATCCGCGCGGTTGTGCGGATCAAAATCTAGCAACTCAATTGAAAAATTAACTTGTACTCTATTTCATTAGAAAATCTAAACCAAATCTCAATTCTGTAATATATTTTGAGAGGATATGAAACTGATTCAATTCAGAAGGACATATCTAGTGACTAGTGTGTTATCTTCTCATGGAACAGAGAATTGTTGTTTATATGATTTATGAATGTGTATTTTTTTTTCTTTTACAACATCTCCAAAAAGATTCTTTTTTTTTAAGTTTCTAAAATTCTATTTTTGAAATTTCAAAGAGTTTTTTTCCAAAAACAAAACTTCAAACGTAAATTCAAAATTATTTATACTTTACATTATAGTTTTTATATTTTTTATAGTTAATGTAATTCATAAAAATTTTAGAAATAGCACACATATATATAAATTATACATCCCTATTAATTAATAAAAGTTTAGACTAAAATATAAAATTATAAATACAAATACATAATTAAGTATTAAGAAATACCATATTGTATTGTCTAATTCCATTATTAAAATATTTAACTACAAGCAAATATTAAATTTCTTTTGTAATATTTTTGTTGTCTAATTTTAGTTTTAAAATATTATAAATTTTATATTAATACTTTATTTAATTTATCTGTAAAAATTAAATTTATAAAAATATTAAAACCAATTTGAAAAATTTATGAGATATAAAAAATTATAGTATTAAAATGATAAACAAAAAAAATATTTATGAATTAAAATTTTTATTTGTAATTGTAAATACCAAAATGCAAATAAAACAAAACAAAACTTCACTTTTGAAGTTTTGAATAGTGAAATTTTAAATATGAAGTTTTATTTCTTAAAACTTCAGACTTAAAGTTTTAAAATTCTTTTTTAGAGAGTAAGAAACTCTATATTTGAAATTATATAATTTCTTTCTAACCTACGTTGCATGGAAACTCTGTTCAAAGTCCGTTTCCTGTTTCAGAAACGTTTCGGAATCGGAATCTTTTAGAAACTCGAGGAAACTCTTTGGAAACACGTTTCTTGAAAATTTCATTTTGGAAACACAATGGAAACTCGCGTTTCTGATTTGGAAACTCGCGATTCTAATTTGGAAACTCGCGATTCTAATTAGAAACGCAAAAAATAACTATTTGACATTTGATGTTAATGATTACATGTTTATTATTTTATATTTTAATATTATCTTTTGTTATTTATTATCATTTTAGTATAATGATTTGATTTGGAATGAAGTCGCTCCATAATTATATCAAATGATAACATGTGTTACTTTTCTAATTATTGATTATAATTTTAATAAAATGTACGAAAAAAATACTTATATTACTTACATTTTTCTCTTAGATAAATCAAACAAAAAAAAGCTTACATGTTAATTAATCATACATACACACACACACACACATATCTTAAACAATAAAGTAGCCTTTTTTCTCTCCCTAGGGGGGATGAAATACACGTGTCCCTTCTCTTTTCTAATGGGCCTTAACGATTTTCATTTCTGAACAAATGGTTTTGTTTGGGTCTCTAAAGGCCTGCTTAAAGTTCTGATTTCTGCGATTCAACGCAATATCTACCTTCGTAGATTCCGCCGACGGCAAGGACCGATAGAGTTCGCCATAGCTGAGGATGCAGAGATTGCCGTTACTGCTTTTACTCCTTCTCTCCTTTACTCCTCATTTATCTTTCTTTACTCCACCTCCCAACATTCAAGATGACCTATGGGCTTCATAGCTCGCCCTCTTTTGATTCATGTATAAATAACCCTTCTTGCAGAAGTGAGTTTCACACCTCCTGATATCAGAGAAATCTGTGTCTTTTCATTTTCGTTTATTACCATGGCTCTTCTCAACGTCTTGCTCTCCGACATGAGACCCGGCCGATGCTCCGCCACGGTGGAGATCCGACTCCTCCGATTCTGGGAAGCTCGGAATGTGAGGAAAGGAGGCGAGCTGATGAGTGTGGACATGCTGTTCATCGATGCTGATGTAAGACCTTTTTCCCTTTCCCAGATTTGTTTTGTGATTCTCACTCATATGGTTCTGACGGTTTCTCTTTTTTCTCATTTTTTTTTACTGATTTCCAACAGTCGACGGTTACCCAAGGCACCGTCGCTGCTACTCGCCAGCTCAGGTTCCGGGATCGCCTCACTGAAGGCTCCGTGTATACTTTGAGTGGGTTTGACGTTGTGCGCAGCAGCTCCAACTTCCGTTTATGTGATGCTCCTCTGATGATACGGTTCAACGACGGCACAAGCTTTGACAAGAAATTTAACCCTGAAAGACCCATACCAACTGAGCATTTCCGGTTCATGCCGTACAGTCGTCTGCTTGAACTTGCAAACACAGGGACACAGCTTCCTGGTAAGTGGTTTGAGTGTAATGAATATTTGTATGTAATTTCAGATGTGTTTTGAGTAATTAATATCACAAAATTACAAATATTTGTACGATTCAGTTTTAAGTAGATCTTATTAGTGTTTCTGGTGTCTCGGCATTAATAAGTTTAGTTAAATTTGGGCGTATTAGTTTTCTGGTGTGTCGGAATTAATAAGAAAAACTATGTCTAGGATAAGTGTTTCTGGTGTCTTGGAATTAATAAGATTAGTCTAACCCAACCCCATGTGTTGTGCAGTGATAATGAAAAGTTGTAATAGAGATTTTACTTCAACCGAAAATGTAGTTATTATAATTCATTTTGCTTTTCACTGAAATTGTTGAATCCAACCATTCTCTAACAGACATAATTGGGGAGGTTAATGCTATCAGGAGCACGATAACTGACCGCATACCAGGGGCGCAGCGTGTCATGCTTACTTTGCGTCTTGAAAGGTGATCTTAATTTTTTAAGCTTCATGTCTTTAGCTTGGTAATTGTCAAAATGGTAATAACGTTTGTAATTGCATTGCTGTGTATGTTTTTTACAGTGGTGAAAACGTTTGTGTCAG